AGTCAGTGCCTATGGGCTGGCTTTGGGGTCCAGTGGCTGCCGTTTCCAATCAGGAAAAGAAATATGGCATAGCTTTACTCTTTTCCGAATCCAACCTAAACCATTAGGCCCAATTTCGTGGTCCACAAAAATCTCTCAGACGGCTAGGAATTCTTTTTCTTCTTGTCATAGTTTGTCCTTTCTTGCAAAAGAGTAAAACTAGTCTTTATTTCAACACCCACTCGAATTATAACCCACTCTTGAGGTAATTCATGGCCTTCCAAAAGGGCAAAACCAAAATAATCAGAAATTGTACCTCACTGTTTATTTTGCATTAGGGACACAGTGTAAAAACATAATATTTTCCTCGTATGGATAATATGAAACAAGAAATACAACTTTGGCTACACTCTGAACAATATTTGCCCCTTTTGCACAATTTCCTCTGTCACCATTTTTACACCACAGAGAAAGATACCCAAGAAAAAAAAGGAAGGCTAAGTAAGGACTACAAAGAGATTTAGACAGTGCTAGCTGTGGACTTTTCTAACTCATCTATTCTTGCCATTTGTGAGAGTAAACAGGGAAGCAGCAGACTTGAGATCATGCTTCAGCTCATGTTGGATTGACCTAACCTCTTCCTTTGACACAAGTTTGTCACTGAAGAAAAACCATATGTTATTGGATTGTTAATTGAAGCAGCAGTATGGAGAACAATGATTCATTTACTTAAATATGCATCTACCCTTTTACTAAAAAAACCTAGGAAAAGCTGTCTATGCTCAACTATGCCAAACTTGGTCGAGAAAAAGATCTTCTATCTCTTCATACATTTTACAATCCATTGTAAACCAAATTAAACTTATTATTGCATCTGATCGATCTTCACCCACCGTTTACAAAATTACAGAGGCATCAATCACATCGACTTTGTTCTACATGCAAGAGCAGACTTAATTAACATCTCCCAGCTTTAATTTCTACCATGGCTTAACCATTCTTTGCAAATAAGTGCCAAACAAGAGCAGTAGTAAAAGAAGAAAAAAAAAATAGCTTGCATTGTAAACTCAAGGGTACATTGCTGCTTCATATATACGTGGTATATATTTCACGAGATGTTACACTGAACTCTTTGATAATACACAAAGATATCCAGGTTGCACAGTTTCTAATTTTATTCAAGCTTGACAGGAAATTTCAAGTGCATTGCCATCATGTATTCTAGGCTTTGATTAAGAATATTACCATTAGGCAAGTGTCTATTAGAGAATATGCCTAAACCTGGAAGGAGTTGTTTTTACCACAATAGTCTTGACCGTAAGGCTGCACTGTTTACCATTAGCAAATGGCAAGAAATTGTTTTGAAAGAGAAGGAGAAATGCACATGCTGACAATAAATAAGAATAACTGAAAAACATGAATCACCAATGCATCCTTATTGCAAACTTAATGTTTATAACTTAAGCTATAAAAAATGATTAATCCATTCATTTAATACCTTTAACTCCTTATTACCACTTAAAATTCATTTCGACCAATTTAAAAATCACATAATACATAATCAGAGAAAATGAAAAAAATACTGGTACATATATATTTGCTTATTATATATAATACTACAATAACAGCTTTGATGACTAAAAAACATTACTGCTTGGTTAGTTGAAGTCATGAAAATGAACTCTATACAATCATATCAGTAACTAATACGACGATGAAATTTGCTAACAGAGAATAGCAACAGCAATATGTAACCTGCATTGAATCGATACTTTGGAGTCAAAAGGAAACGATCCGACTTCAAACACCGGAAGAAGCGGTTTTATGTCTTCACCTACATCTGACAAAGTGGGAGTCGAATTCAACTTTAACAGAATTAAGATCAAACACAGTATAAACTTGCAAAAAAAAATATAAACTTGCAATAAAGATGACGAACCATCATAATTACCCTGAACAAGGTTACACTCTCCTTCACAATGAGCCGGCATGGCATCATATACCGTCAAACCCTCTAAACACTGAATAGCATTGGCCTCATGATCACCAACTTGAACCATTTGCTGCTGCCCTGATTGTTGTTGACTGGCAGCAGCAGCAGCAGCAGCAGTCTGGGCTTTGCAAATGGCAAGCTGGTGGAGCACGAGGTCAAGCTCAGCCTTGACCCAATCAATCTGCATTTTCAGGTCGGAAATAATCCCGTAGCAACCACCAACAGGGTCGTTAGCCCTGGTGTTTGCTTCAAAAACAATTGATTTCATGGCAATGAGTCGCTGTGGAGGGTCGAGGTTTCTAATGATTTTGACGATGTTACTAACGCCGAAAAGTTTGTGGGCATTAAGGAAATCCTTTTGGTGATGAGCAGGAAAAAAAGGAGCCAAAAGACAGTTACGGGTGCATTTCCTACGTTGGTATTTACATGCAGCACAGGCTGGAGAACCGGCGGAGCAGTTGTTCCCCCTGGGCCGTTGCATGTTTTTGTAGGCCGGGGGAAATCTCTTTGGGGTGCTTAAGATTATTTCGCCGTCTTTGCAGGAAAAACAGAGAGAAAAGAGGAGAATTAAAGACCTAAGAAGAAAATGGAGGGGCTTAACCGATTTGTTCGGCCGGAGATAAATCAGGGACGTGCTACTCTACGTGTCATGGGGGGTTTTATTTTCTCTTAAATTGGATTTTAAATTATTATGATAATAATTGTATTTTTGGGATAATTAATTTTTCTCATTTTTTTAATTATCATTCTCCTTAATTTTTTTTAGTATAAATGGCCTGCTTTTGTGGCAAATTGTCAATTTTAAAATACGTTAACGAACTAAGTAATGCTATTTTGTTAACAAATAAATTTAAAAATTGAAAATTTTTAAAAATAAATTTTCATAAAATTACAATTAGAATTTTTGCCCAATTTTTTCGTTTAATTTGAGTAATAAGATTTTAAGAATAAACTAAATTATAGTGACCTTTTTTTCAGGAAATTGAATTTAAAAGTTTGAATAATAAAAACTAATTGGCTAAAATATCTTTATTCGTAATTTTTATCTTCTTTTATTAAATTTATCTATTATTTTCTTTTTTTTAATAAATATATAATTCTTTAAAAATTTCGATCCTTTTACTAGTTTTTTTATTTTGGGCCGTTAATGGGACCATTACTATATTTAACTGAGCCCATCAATACATAATTTTCAGTGCTTTCTGATTATTGTAAAGGACTAATGGGCCAATAGGTCCACTATCATGTTAGCCCATATTTTTTCCAAGTATGGAAGGGAATTAGCTAAAACTTGGCTGGGCTTCTCCCATTACAGCAATAATCCAAATTTTTCTTTGTTCTTTTTTGAATGACAGAAGTTAAAATATCTGGAAAAGAGTTAGTACAATGAGCAATTATCTTGCAGGATGTTTACCTCATCTTCATGCTCAATCCTTTGTATGTGTTTCTCTTTTCAGTTCTGAATTATAACATATAAGAGATTCAGTAAATGATAAAATCCTTTATATTGTTTCAGTTCATGGATTTTTTGTATGTGTGTGGGTGCACTTGGATTGTTCTCAGTAGCCACCTCATGACCCTATGGTTACAGCTGTTTCGAGATGCAAGCCAAGCATGTTATGGACTGTGTAAATGGCTTCTGTTGAGAACCCTTTTGTTTTTATTCTACTGGGCTACTCACTGGTCCCAACACTCTCCCACACTCACAGATGTGAGTGTTTGTGGGGAGTGGAGGGCTGGGGCTTTGGTCCTCTCCACCAGTAATCAATCACCTCATAGGTGTGTTTCAGACATGGGCTAGCTCCTCCCCAGGCTTCAGATCCCTCTCTTGTGGGCACCAAAATTTGGGCCATTACATGTAGAGGAGCCTGGTTGGCAACTAGGAGAGAGGATTTGCAATGTCCAATTTTCCAGAACAAATTGTATGTTTATTGATGGAAATTGCAAATCAGAACTTGTCCAAAGAAGAGAATTTGTTTGCAGCAAACAGCACTACATATTTGAATGGATCTGGTGAATAGTGAGGATCTGCAATCTGCCTGTCGAAACAATATACATGATAGAACTAAAACCAAGAGCATTATGAAGAGAGAAATGTATCAGGAAATCCCACAGAGAAGACCACTGGAAAAGGACACATCTTCAAATTCCAAATTGACTTAGGCATTGAAAAACATCAAATGTTACATCTATTGATTTTGAGAAACTCTCAAACAATCATACGAATCGACCAGAGCCTATCAAAATAAATCACTAAAATAGATGCAATATTTTACATTCAAGTTCCAAGTTCCAACTTAACCTTGGCTGCACTTTTCAGCATGAACAGAGGAAAATTGTATCAGCCTACAGGAATAAGTATGCAACTTTTAAAGACCTAATGATAAAAACATAAGCTGATCCATAAACATGCAGCTCAATTACAAATAGTTGAAGCCTCCAAGGAAAAAGACAAAGGTGATTATTCTTACACACAAACCATGGATAACCACCCTCAGATATCATTCGAACTGAAGTTATTATACACAATTCATGGTTGGCCTAAATAACTCCAGCAGCAAAACTTAGAGAGCTTCACATTTTCCATCTCACCCATGAGTGTTAACCGCTTCCCAAACTAAGTTCTTTGGAACTGGGTTGGTGAGATCCCTAGCCTGCAAGGCTGCTGATCGAAGAGTCCCTATTGTCATTGCATTAGCCTTCCAAAATGATGCACTGTTGTATGGTAAACTGTGTTTCTTGCATAGATCCTTAACGAATGGCGAAATTTTCCTGAGATGGCACCGAGGCAACCTTGGAAACAAATGGTGCTCAATCTGGAACTGCAAACCGCCATGAAACCAGTCCATCCAAGATGAGCACAATATATCGAGTGTCCCACCAGTTTGCTTCTCAAACCAATCGTTCCCACTAGGAGGTCCAACATAAACACTCGATGAGAAATGATTCAAACAGAACTGAATATGTTGAATTCCAGTCACAGAGAAACTAGCAACCACAAACATCACTCTCTCACCCCAATTAGGCAAGCAAGAAACAAGTAGCGGATACCAAGTCCAGAAAACAAGAAGCCCCAAAATCTCCTGACCCCTATTTGGTACCTTCCGCTTAGATAACAGCAATGCGAAAGATTGTGCAAATAGATTAATCCTAGCAAAACACATTACAGGATAAAATGTCCAATGCTGGTAACTAACCAAGAACCTAGTAACAGAATCAAAATTCATCTTCCTTTCATAAAAATAAGATGTGAGTGAATGAAAAAACTTCGAAGATACCACGAAAAATGGTATGTGTTGAAGATCTGGATCGAAATCAAGACTATTACAAGCAATGTGATGAGCATTGTGATTCCATTTCCACCAACCAATACTGATCCCTGCAAGGCAATTCCCAGTAAGGATCTGAGCAAGTCTATTGAATTTTCTGTTGGACATAACCTGGTAATGCCCAGAATCATGTCCAATCCACCCACTCTGTATCCACAAGAATCCCAATAATCCACCAGAACAAAGATGCGCCCAAGTGGTGCTGCAGCATAAAACACCATAAACACTGATAAAAAACAGCAATGTTATGAAACAAAGTGAAATGCATGCCCCGTGTCCCTTCTTTTCAAAAAGACCCATCTTTGAAAACTCACCAAGGAGTTTTCTATAATCTTTGGATACCTCTGAGACACAGTAATCTTTGAGATAATACCCAGTAAAGAGCTTGTCAAGATATTGCCAAGCTAAGCCTGGATGATAGGCTACAAATGCATCAGTAGCATCTTGGCCAGCCAGATTTTGCAATGGAAGTGCCCCTCCAGGGTGGTCTTGACTCCATTGAGTGACATCATAGACCTTGCCCTGTATAGAGATCCATAGATCTCCTGGTTTTTTGTGCTCTTCAAGCTCTGCTTGGGAAATGTACCTCCTTGACTCTGCCATTGGGGCAAGAAACGAGCAACCAAAGAATGGATCTGAGTTGGAGTGTTTTTCTCTTCCTTCCCCGGGTGTGAAAGGGAGAGACTTTTTCAGTGTAGAATGATTATGGCATGAGAAAAGAAAAAGAGGCTATTTTGGGTTGCGTTTTCTTTCAATGTCTGAATGAAAGTTCTCAGCTTTATGCCTGGCTTTTGCTTTGCTTTTGGGGGTGTGAATGTGATGGAGCAATGAAGGGAGGTGATATCACGATTTATAGAATGAACGTTGGGTGGGGTTTGTACAGCCAAGCAAAAATGAAGAAGCGCCACAGCATAGTTTAAACGGTAGAAGCTGATAAGCGGCAGAGTTTAATACGAAATATCTTGTGCTTAGATGGTGAGCAAGAACATTGACTACTTCTCAAAAACTAGGGCTGAAGTTGAGAACATAATGGGAAATTGAGGGCAAACTTTTTAAAATCTCCTTTTACTTTCTATGCTCAATCAATGTATAATTTTGAATTTTGATTTAAAGGAAAGAACATTTTTGGTTAAGATATAAATTGAAAACAAATTCTATAACAAATCACCTTCTTAGTTAGTATTAGTCACGTGATTTTCCTTTCTCATCGACTTTAAAATGGTAGGTAAATAAATCCTTTAAATTTTATATAAAGCAAAAATTAACTCAAAATAAGATTTCAACCATTAAATTTATCAAATTTATTATTTAACAATAAATATTATCGTTATGAAATTACCATAACTTAATTATGATTACAAAATCTTATCACAACATTCGAAATTACTTACGAGAGTCAACTTTTGTAATGCTTATATCGTTGATTATATGACTGAAATGATTGCATTATACAAAGACAAGAGTGGCTAAGTTAAATTAGGATAATGAAGTGAGAGAGCCTTGTGGTCTTTGATGTTGCAAGTAGAAAAAACTACAGGGGGAAATGGAAGCGTATAAGTAACGCACCCATGGCCAAGGGCAATAGTGTAATAGAAAACACATGCAATGCTTTCAAAGCTCCAAGCAACTTTAAAGACCATGGAAATTTCCCATCGTTTCCTCTGGGGAGAGTAGGAAATTTCCCAATAATTGTGCCACTTCTGTCATATACGGACAGCTTTCCAGCTATAGCTACCTTGTTTTAACACACGGTATAAATGTAAATATCGAATAATGCCAAAACCTGACAGCATGACGAATCTGTAATACTATTCTATCTTTTGTCAGGTTGGATTTGACGTTAAAATTCAATTCGGGCTCCATTTTTAAATTTTCAATAAATTGTCTCTTCTGTTTCACAGAACAGTTTTGGCGAGTGAATTAATGGCACAGTTTGGGCTCTTATTTCGGAAAAAGGGAAAACCCAAAACAATACATATAATTTGTTTCAATAATAAATATGTGAATTATTTAATTTTGAAAAAATTTCACATGATAAAAGAAATATATACAAAGGTAATTAATGGATAATTAATATTGTTGGGTATAATATTTCAATTTTAATTTTCATGACCAAATTATGGAAAAGAATATCCGTACATCAGATTCTCCCTCCTTGACCCTTCTAAAAAGGAATATCCCCCACACTCGTACCGTAATTATACAAGGGACGTGGGAGTTTTGTTTGAATGGTTGGTGAAGCGAAAACAGTTTGGAACGGTAGATAAAATGGGGGAAAGCAAATCAAAATCAACGTGGAAATGGACTCAGCCACATGGTAGAATATGCCCACCTGCATCATCTGCTATAATCGCACCCCAATATTATAACTGCCTCTTCCATAATACGTTATATAGTTTTTTTATAATATTCGGAGAAGATAAGTTTGAATTTTATTATTATTTTTTAAATTATATATTAATTAATAAATCAAATATTCGAATATATATATTATACAACTTTCAACTTAAGGTATATCTGAATTAAATTGCACCACAAGGAAAATTTTCCATATTAAGTTTATCAACGGTGAATAATGAAATTGAGAATATTCCAATTCTTATATTTTAATCCTACTCAATTAAGTTTTTTTGTGTCATTTATTTGTACCTTCCACATCAACATTCTTTTATTTTATCCAATAAAATTCTTACTCTAGTATTAGGAAAATAGCAAATGTTAGTTTTAATAAAAACACTTATTTCTTGTATATGTGAAATTAACATGATGCGTTGACTAGATAGAACAACAATTATTATTGTGGTGGAATGCCATGTCATCAACTTTTTTCCCTAATGATTATTAATGTAACAAATCATATCACAAGAAATTCCATGTCATCAACTATTTTTGTGTGTAGTTAATCTATCATATTAAATTCTATGTATATAAAAAATGATAATTATCACACGTTGTATTTTTATTATAAAATAAAAATTTAATTGAGTAAAACAAAAAAAAAACTTTATTAAGTTCGACAAAAATGTAAATACTTTATTATCTAAACGCATATAATTTAAAGACTAATTTTATTTTTTTATTTTTGGGAACTAGAGACTTATTTTATTATGTTAACCTAAATTGGATAGATTAATTGGGCTTGCCTAATTTGTCCATTAAACTGCAAAAATTGGCCCCAACTGGTCCAATAATCGAGAGATCCGGCCCAAACCACATTCACCTCACTCCCGAGCCCGTCAAGCCCACAAAGAAAGGCCTGTTCGCCCACAAGAAAGAGGGAAGCACCGAAAAGAAAAGAATCGGGTTCTCTGTGCATGATTGCTTCCCACTGTAACCCAGACAAAAACCATATTTTTGCTTTCAGAAATCTGTTGGGTTTTTTATTGTCACACCAATAAATCCAAAGCGAAGGAGAGCAGGAAAAAAAAATTTTTATATGGAAAAGCTTGAAGAAATGGCAGAGAAGCCTCAACCGGTGAAAGTACTATACTGTCCCATATGTTCTCTTCCAGCAGAGTACTGTGAATTCGGCCCTGATTTCGAAAAGTGTAAGCCTTGGTTGATCAACAACGCCCCTGAGCTTTACCCAGATCTCTGTAAAGGTTCTACGTCTTTCTTTTTTAAAAAAATTATTATTTAGTGTAAATATTTGCATCCTTATTTTATGTTTTTTATTCCATTTCTTCTTTTTGTTTGCTGATGAAACTGACAATAAAGAAGACAACGCTTTGTTTTTTTTTTTCTGGCTTTTGTTGTTTTGTTTTGGCTCTGGGTTTTAAATTTGGTTTGGCTGGAGGTTGTTTGTCTTGTATGGATTGATGAATGAAGAGAATAATCTTTGCCTTTTGCTATTGGATATTTTCCTCAATCTTTATTGCTTTTCTTAGTTTTGATTGTATGTAGGAAGTAAAAACTGGAAGAGTAGGAGAAGAAAGGATTTTTTCTTCTTCTTGTGCATGTGACACTGTAGTAAGTTATAATTGTTTTTGATGTTCAGAGGCCAATGAAAAGGAGGTGGAGAAGGTTTCTGAACAGCTCCAATCAGTTGGGATGTCCTCTGCTGATGGGGCAGCATCTTCAGCTCAACCAGGTTAGTATGACTTCTTAGTCATCTACTTATTTAGGCAGCATTCTTTGGTTTTATATTGGGAATATTCTGTCATAAACACAAATAATTTCTTCACAATTTTATTCATCATCTTTCAAGAAGAAACATTTTCATTAACCTCTGAACGTCTAACACAAATAATGTCTTCAAACTTTATTTATTGCTTTCAAGAAGAAGCGTTGTCATTCTCACTGCTCCAATGTTTGTTTTCATATATTTATATTACATTTCTATTTTGAAGGGGATACATCATCATCTAAGCAAGAAGAAGTTAAACGTCTTCCTGGTGGGAAAATAAAGAAGAAAGTAAGGCTCTTCTTTTTTTTTAAGTTCCCTTGGCATTATATGCGCAAAACATTCATAGTATTTTGAAGGTTTTGATCCCCAATCCTAGGATGACATTTTCTAAATTAGCATAGAGTAAATCGCATTTTCCTTTATTTTTCTTGTCTAATTGAATAATGTTGATTTGCAGAAGATTCATGTTCTAAATCATGGTGAAATATTTCCGTAATTCTTATTCAAAGTCATTGCTTGTGGACCTTTGCCTACATGCTCCGTTATTTTTAGGATATGAGAGTAACCTATCTTGTCTTCCTAATTTTCCCTGCTTTTGTCTTTGGTCTAATAAAAGGAGAAACAAGAAGTTGTTATTGAGAAGGTTGTACGTAACAGGCGCAAATGTATCACCATTGTGAAAGGGTTGGATCTTTTTGGTGAGCCACTTACTGATATGCCTCTCTTGCATTCTCACATTTATTTTTTCATCTCCTGATTAGTTTTTTAAAACAAGTTAATTTCTGATGAGTAGATATTTATTTCAGGTGTCAAGCTTAGTGATGCTTCCAAAAAGCTTGGGAAGAAGTTTGCCACTGGAGCATCAGTTGTTAAGGTGTATAAAATGCCATCTGCACCTGTAGTTTTCATTCCAATATTGGTTATTTTTCTTGCAAATATTTTGATGATTATTTGCTTTAGGGGCCAACGGACAAGGAGCAAATTGATGTTCAAGGGGATATAGCCTATGATATCGTGGAATTTATTACAGAGACCTGGCCTGCTGTAATTTCTCTCATCATCTTATTTGTGTTTCCTTCAATATGAAAATGCTGCACACGAGAAAATATTAACGCATGATTGATTATTTTCTTTGTTTTGCTGTTGAAAAGAATTATTTTCTGCTTTGCACATGGAAATACTATTCAACATGGAACTCTGCAATTCCTACTTAGATATAGCTCTACTACAAAAAAAATCATTCTTTATTGCCTTGAAAGTGAGGTTATGCTGTTCATTACTAATGCAAAAGCTTCGTAAAATTTCATTATGGCCATATCCTTTGGAATACACTACCAAATTCCCTTAGGATGCTGTATGACTATTTTTTTATGCTTGACATAAGTCTTCATGTTCTGAAAATTTGCTCTCTCTCTCTCTGAATTGAAGTTTCTGTATTTGCTGTGCCCTTTCAGGTGCCTGAAACTGCTATTTTCTTCATTGAGGATGGAAAAAAGGTTCCAGCTGCTTGATGCTAGAGCTTGGAGCAGGACTCGGGGCTGAGCATTTACAGCACATTGATGAGCCAGTTTGCGCTTTGACTGGACAGAGCATCTATTCATCCTTAGTTGGATTGGATAATTTTCACCAAACCTGCTATACCTTTGAGAAGAAGTTCTGCCATTTGAGAGATAAAATTGTGTACTGCTGAAGCATTACTCTTCACTGGTCCTTGAAAACATCTTGCTATTATAATATTTTTGGCTTGCGGCATAATCTTCTACATGTAAGCAGTGTTTTTCTTTGATGGGCAAGCACTAGAGATACCTTTTTGTGTGAATGATGTTGGAGAAAGAAAGTAGATAGATGAAGAATAACTTAGCACTTGAAAGTAATGGACCTGTTTTGAGCAGAGCTTCATTGCTAGTGCTTCGATGTATCTGATGAAATTCGAGATTTATGGTCAGTACGGATTGATTTTCAAATCTACTTAATGCTTGTGGCAAAGCTCAGTGGGAATACTCCTGGCTCTATGATCACAATGGATGCTCTGCTTGGCTATCATGCCTCACTTGGCCAAGCTTCTTCTCCACCTGGAGAACTAGAAAACAGGGAAGACAAGCAAACTGAATGTCCTAAAATCTAGAGCATGTAAGTACAACGTTAATTAAAATAGAAAAAAAAAAGTTAAACCAATAGCTGAATGGAGTCTAAATTTTAGAGGCTAAAAGGAAGCATAAATCCCTAAGTTGGTTTAGAGCTCTCAAAGGGTAAAAGGAGGAGAGAAATTGGGTTCTCAAGGCCATGGGTGATTTAACGGGGCTTCGTTTAACTAGTCTCGGACCCAAATACACACCAACAAAAATCTGTCACTTTATAACTTAGTAGTAGTGGATAAAACGAATATCCGTCCCTTTCTCCTTTGATTCGTCCCGTAATGTAGAGAACCGAAACCCCCTCTCTTTTGTCCCTTAAACCCGGAACAGAGGCCCCTCTCCTCATCTCATCCCAGGTTTTATAAAAGCCTCTTCTTCTAAGTTATAATTCTAAGCTTTACTTCTCTCGAGGTAATAACTATCCAGTTCAGCAATGCTCTTTACTTTTTTTCCTTTCTTATTTTCATTTTTCCATTGTTAATGGTCCTTTTAAATGTTTATTGGTATGCTTAGGAACAGTGGGTTTATTCTTAAATGAGAAAGCAGACAACTTTAAACCGTTGGGTGTTTAAGATTAATGCCTTTTGTGGGAGTGGGCTTGCTTGTATGGTTCAGCTATGCAGCTTCGTTACTTGATTTTCATTTTTGTCCCAAATTGAAAATAGAGTTGGACCCAGATTTTAGTATGAGCTGATAGCAGTGGTGGCTGTTATTGCTCTTTGAATTGCCATTTTATTGGACAAAAGAAAGAGTTTCCTTCTGTCCCGACAACGTTGAAACTTGCTTTAGTAGAGCAAACCAGAAGTAATACAAGGATTGAAGTAGAATTTCTTTTTGCCTGAGGACATTTCCCTGGATTTCGAAACTAATTTGGACCATATTAGTATTTTGCAGGTGCATGTGAATATTGTTGGGCAGAACCAAACAGTAAAATGGCACATTTGCTGTCAACTACATGCTCTGTGAAGATCTCATCTAGCTACAGACCTTGTGGTCAACCTCTGAATCAGGTTCGAACAGCACTTCCTACCTCTTTTACCATTCAGACTTCCAAATCCCCCTTCAAAAGGCTTGTCTTCCAAGGAGACAGGGCAGGAAGAAGTTTTGTGGTTCGTGCAACTGCCGCACCTGTAAGCCAAGAAGTTTCCGCTCAATCGGGGTCTGGTTCTAATCAGTCCCCAAATGAACCTTCAAAGCCTCAGCGGGTCATGATTATTGGTGGAGATGGCTACTGTGGCTGGGCTACAGCCCTCCACTGTCCAACAGAGGTTATGATGTTGCAATTGTGGACAGCCTTGTCCGGCGGCTCTTTGACCACCAGCTTGGTCTTGACTCCTTGACACCCATTTCCTCTATCCATAACCGTCTCCGTTGTTGGAAGGCTGTCACTGGAAAAACAATTGACCTTTATATTGGTGATATTTGTGACTTTGAGTTCTTATCTGAAACCTTCAACTCATTTGAACCTGATGCTGTTGTCCACTTTGGAGAGCAACGGTCTGCCCCTTATTCAATGATTGATCGATCAAGGGCTGTGTTCACTCAGAAAAATAATGTAATTGGAACACTCAATGTTCTCTTGCAATAAAGAATCAGAGAGCAGTGCCATCTAGTGAGCTTGGAACAATGGGAGAGTACGGAACTCCAAACATAGATATTGAAGAGGGTTATATAACAATCACTCACAATGGAAGACCGTGAACTTGCTTATCAAACAAGCAAGCTCTTTTTATCATCTCAGTAAGGTTCATGATTCAAATAACATAGCCTTCACTTGCAAGGCTTGGGGCCTCAGAGCCACTGATCTGAATCAAGGAGTGGTTTATGGGGTAAGGACAGACGAGACTTCAATGCATGAAGACCTGTATAACCGGTTTGATTATGATGGAGTATTTGGAACAGCATTGAATCGGTTTTGTGTTCAGGCTGCTGTTGGGCATCCCCTTACAGTTTATGGGAAAGGGGGCCAGGTGAGACTCCTCTATTCGAACGTACTATTGATGCCCCGCACTTTATATTTTGTGTTTTATTTTCCGTAAATACCTGAGGATATATCTTTACGCTTTGATTCTGCTTTTGGGAGGAGTGACTGTTCACTTCGAGTAAACAGTTTTCATCAACCTAATTTGTGCTTAGTCAATTTTGTATCTTATGCATCACAGACACACACCCTATTTATCAGATATGCTAGGTGTTTCATGGTATACATTGGACACACACTCCCAGAGCCCATTCCTTTGACATGCTGGATGTGCCACCACACACATATTAGACATGGATATTTTATAATGCAGAAAATTCCTTGGTACAGTTATGCTAAGCTATAATTAGAGGATGGCATTTTTCCTGCATTCATGTCTAACTCTCTCTCTCGTGATCTATTTATAAAATTCAGACCAGGGGTTACCTTGACATAAGAGACACAGTTCAGTGCGTTGAACTTGCCATTGCAAATCCAGCACAACCTGGTGAATTTCGGGTTTTCAATCAATTCACTGAGCAGTTTTCTGTCATTGAACTAGCTGCCCTTGTAACAAAAGCGGGAGAGAAGCTTGGACTTGATGTGCAAACCATACCTGTGCCCAATCCAAGAGTTGAGGCAGAGGAACATTATTACAATGCAAAGCATACTAAACTCATTGAGCTGGGACTCAAACCACATCTCCTCTCAGACTCTCTTCTTGACTCATTGCTCAACTTTACTGTTAAGTACAAGGATCGTGTTGACAGAAAACAGATTATGCCTAATGTTTCTTGGAGAAAAATTGGGGTGAAGCCACAGACTGTGCCAGCTAATTAAGCGGTCGACAGATGGAGATGTCAGAAAGTTCTTGTTTACCTTGTTGTATCTTTTTGCCCTTTGTAGATGGCGCTGCAGTTCTTTCAACTTTTCATGGTAAGCGTGGTCTGTAATGTGGCCCTGGAATCTAAAGATGGTTAAATTGGTTGCACGTGAGAGAGTAATATGACTTGAGTTCTTGGATCGTGGCTTTTGGTGTGGAACACTGTGAGCCTGTTTTGTATTCAGTTGCTTATATCTTTATAAGGTGGAAAATATCAATAATAATGACTGAAGTTCCCCAGTGTTATTGTTATCCTGTTGCTTTTCACTTGTCCTGTGATAATACATGAACTGAGGGCTTTGTTCTTCCCAATTTTAACGTTACAGTTATTCCAAGTCATCTCACTCTAGGAGGTGATTCCATACTACGTTGGATGTACTTTATCTGCTCATTGTTCGCCACTCTTACGTAATATATAATCATATTGCAGGTAGGTATTTGGCTTCTAGAACAAAGTAAAACGTCCCTATAGAAGTTGGAAACAAAGTAATTTTACTTTGTATGATGTAAAATTATAGCTTCATGGCTTTTCCATTGCAGTAACAGAGTTAACTTTTACAATAACCTACAAATCAGTTAATCTACAAAACAATCTATAAGCTTAACTTCCTGGATCCCACAAAGAAGAAGGCCATAGGGAATGCAGCAAAATCTCAAGCTTCAAAATTCAAGCGGGACGGTAGCTTTTACATCAGCTGGGCAAAAATCTCCAGGATATATTTTCTTCTGTCAGGAACATGTATGTTATTCACTATTTCTCAGATACGTGACTTGATAAAATCAAGCCCTCTTTTGCATGATTGTAAGTGTTGGGGTATGTTCTTGTCTTCACGAACTGCCCTTATAAAATCAAGCACAACTGTAGCTAACTCATCTTGGTGTGAAGTATACTCATGATCAGCTCCTTCAATTAACTGCAGTTTTTGATTTCGAATAAACCTGGCAAATTCCAGGGCATCTTTGGCTGGTACAATTTTATCCATGGTTCCATGAATTGTCAACACCCTGAAAACAACGGCATCAAGATTAAAACGCGAGAGATAAATCTATACCAACAATCACATTGTTACTGAAGGAGCAAATTAGTTATTCACAATGCAAACAGTTAAATCTGATCTAGAGGGTGGGCGATCATAATACAGTAGATCTAGAGTAGTTGTCTATGGCAAGTGACATTCACAATTCAATTGATCCAGCTGTATCATGAACGTTAGAAAAGCAGTCAATACTAGAGTTTTCTAACCTGCAATTTTGATCAATCAAAAGACATGATGCATGAGTATCAGTGGCTAATCGGTCCATCAAACTTTCTTTAGTTACACGATATTCAAACTTTCCTGCAAATGA